TTTTATTTTGTGTTGTTTTTTTGGGGTGGGGGGGGGGGGGGGGGGGGGGGTTGGAAGGGGGGGGGGGGGGGGTGAATAATGGGAGGTGAGAAGGACCGAGCCGGAGGGGGTGGTTTTAAGGGGCGTCCTCTCCCATTTGAGATTTTTTTGGAATTTGTAGACTGCTAGACGATTTTAGATGACATCTGAAAAGAAGTAAGCTTAAAAAAGAAAGTGTATGTTTTACTAGAGTGCACGAGAAGCACCACAAGACGAGTGACCATTATTTTTTTTTTTCGCGGTAAACTAGCCACCCTATTCACCACCCTCCCCCTAGATCCGCCACTGGTTGGGGTTTTGTATTTAAAAAAGCAAACTATATTTGTAATTGAATTATTTGTAATTGTATTAGATTTAGGTATATATTTATAAATGGGAGCAACTTTAATTGTAATTGTTAATCACCATAGAAATTTAAATTATTTTTACGTATGTAGGTGTGTCAGAAGGTGCACACATGAATGGTGTAGTAGTGTGACACAGGGGTGGATCCAGTAGGGGGATGGGGCACGTCCCCCACCCAGTTTTGCCACTAGATTTTAAAATTTTCAATGCATATTAATGTTATGTGCTACTCACTTATCTATTCTGGAGCTGTTGTGTGCCCCCCCCCCCACCGACCCGAAAAATTCCGGATCCGCCCCTGTGACAAGATTATCAACAATTCAGTAATAATGACATCATATCAATTTTCTTCTATAGTTCAAAACCCACTGTTTTTTTAAAACATGTGGAAAGAATAACAGTTGACTATAAATTTATATAATTTAAGATAAATCATTTTTTTTTATGAATGTAGGTATGTTTATTTATTTATTCTGTTTTACTCTAAGATAGAGATGGCAGGCTATAAAGGAAAATAAACTCCTATTCCCAATAGGATTCACTTACCATATATATACATATTCAGAACAAATTGAACTTATTATTTGTTAACCTAAAAATCAATTAAATACGACTTGCTATACATAAGGCTATAAGCTTCTCCCCAGGAACCCATCGGGGCTTTCCCCTGCCTCCCAGGCAAAGCTTGAGCAAAGTGCTAGCCCAAAAATAGGAAATTTTTATAATTTAAGATAAATCGGTTTTTTTTATGAATGTAGGTATGTTTATTTATTTATTCTGTTTTACTCTAAGATAGAGATGGCAGGCTATAAAGGAAAATAAACTCCTATTCCCAATAGGATTCACTTACCATATATATACATATTCAGAACAAATTGAACTTATTATTTGTTAACCTAAAAATCAATTAAATACGACTTGCTATACATAAGGCTATAAGCTTCTCCCCAGGAACCCATCGGGGCTTTCCCCTGCCTCCCAGGCAAAGCTTGAGCAAAGTGCTAGCCCAAAAATAGGAAATTTTTAAGTAATTCGTATATAACTCGCACAGGTTGTTGTTCGCACAAGTGAATCTTTTTCCGCTCGAACTAGCATCAGCTCGAAAAAAATTCCGCTCGAATCCGCTTGAACTGGCATCCGCTCGAACTGACATCCGCTCGAATTGACTGGTTCCCCTCCGGGGGGAGGTACGGCTACAAGCTTGTCACTCATTTTGTTGACGAACGTGACAAGTACACGTAATAAATAAATAAATATATTGGTAGGCATTTTTATAAGCTTGTATTCTTTTAATGATTTGCTATGTTGTGACGTTGAATTTTTTTTTCTCTCTCCTCAATATTTCTCTTATTGGATTGTGTTTACCTGGTGTGTGTGTGTGTGTGTGTGTGTGTGTGTGTGTGTGTAAGTTTAGGCCTATAGTACTGTACAGGAAAATAAGTCTGTATTTCTGTATCTACTTTGTATTTATTCATTGGATTGTGTTTACCTGGTGTGTGTGTGTGTGTGTGTGTGTGTGTGTGTGTGTAAGTTTAGGCCTATAGTACTGTACAGGAAAATAAGTCTGTATTTCTGTATCTACTTTGTATTTATTCATTGTTAGTTTAATTTAAGTTTAATTGTTAAGTTATGATAAGAAGAGGCTTTCAAATTTTGTGCTTGTGCTTTTTTTTTATGTAACTCCTTTTTTGTAATTTTTTTGGTTTTGAACGCACCGTCAATTGACGAGTGCCACTGTAACAAAAGTGTGAGTTCAATAAATTATTATTATTATTATAGTACAGAATATATGTGATTAATTGTATTTACGTGACGTAACCAACTTGCGAAACATGGCGAAACAGGTACTGATTTTCGGTGGTTTTTGGCTGTTTTTTTTTTTTCGTTGTTATCCAATATTTAGCCTTAAACAGTAGCGAGCGGAATGTGGTCGTGACATCGTATAGCCCCGTATGAGATATGAGCACATTCCTGCCAGCAGTTTCAGAGGAGATAGGGGAAAAGTACCGGTACGCGGTGGCGATAGCATAATTAGGCCGCTATATAGATTGCTCAAAGGGAGCGACAATTTATTTAATACTACGCCCAGTATGTGACTTTCTTTGTCTTTAATCAATTAATTGTTTGCCACTTTTCCAATTCTGGACACTAGCTTATACTCAGTCTTAATTTAAGTTTTTTATCTTATTGTACAAATCCATATCTTAATTTAAGCAATTGTTATTTTGTATATTTTTTTTTCTTGAATGCACCTTCCTTTTTCCGGAAAGAGATCCACTGATACAAAAGTGTAGAATGAATAAATAAATATAAAAATAAGACAGTAACATCCAATCAGTAATTAGGCATAATAAAATATGAGAAATAAGAAATGTTCTTATTATGCCGTACATGGGGATTTCAAGGGCCCCTTCCCCATTTTTGGAAAGTTATAGGGGGAAAAACAGAAAGAAAGAATTTATTTGATCGCCCAAAACGCCTCAGCAGTTATTTGCGGTCGTCTACAAAACAAATAATTCCGGATCCATTAGGGAAGTGTTGTCTCTCGATCGCCCCACCCCCTTTCGGACATCTCTGGTTCCTCCTCTGCCATATAGTAAAGAAATGAAAATCATCATCAGTTAAGTTGCGTTTGAGAGATTGTGCGTTTCAGACTTTTTCTCTAATAAATTTGTCAGAGCCATATAGGCCTATGTAATGAGTTGCGACATTCCGCGCCTCGGTTTGCGAAAGTCACAAGGTGTCCAAAGATGCAAAGTATACCGTATGAGTTAGGTACATTACACAGTATTTTCATATGTTTAGTTGTGTTTATGATGTTTAATTAATAACTATTTAGTATCAAAAGCGTGATTAAATACGAATTACGTGAGAAAATATAATTGGAACGTTTTATGTTCGCCTATTTTAATCTAATGACTGGAAAGACCTGCCTTCTTGTTAAAAAAAGTTATGTTTTGCTCTTTACTTTAAGCCTACACAATACTGTATCAGTTTATATAGTTTGGCCCACTTGTCCTATAATATTTTAATATTTATAAATGATAATAATAAAATTAATTATATAACATTTGTATAGGGCTAATATTCAATTTTAAAGAACATCAATCTAGATACTCTATTATTTTACAGGATCATTGACATTGGTAAAGCCAAGGCAAAAAGTAATGACTATTCAATATTGGACTGCCAACACTGATTAGGCAAGAAAAAACGATACGGTACTAAGACCAATGAATTGAGGAGACAAAAGATTGCTCGTTACTTTTTAAACAATAGTTTCTGACGGTCATAATTAATTGGTGTACTATCAATATGCGAACGAAAATGATGCGGCCCACTTGACATATACCGGTATTGTAGTAATATTTATTAATATAAATAATACTAATAATAGGAGTGATATTTAGCAAAGAAACATTAAGTATGAAAACATAAAGACATGGCTCGCACATTTTGTCCCTAGTAGTCATAGGGCCTATAAGTTGGTAAAACGAGAATGTGGATAAAGATATAGGCCTTTTTTATTTGATTATGATCTCGAAAATCACTTATTGTTTCTCTTTGCTGTAAACCCGTAAAATTCAAGGAGAAATACTGTACTAGGATATTTTGTCTATCATTATCGCTTTTCCCACACAAATAAATAGCATGAACAACATACAAAGAATAATATAAGAGTCGACTAAACAAAATGCGATAAATTAAGACAAAGTTGGTGAATGGAGACCAAACTTAGACAACTTTAACTAATCTTAATTATATTTATTATATAAATTGACTTATCAGATAGGCATAAATAATTTATATTTGCTGATCTTCATATATCATTTATTTCGCCAAAATAACAGGAGCCACAAATAGGCCTGTCACGCCAAAATTGGTGCGGGCTAAAATCGGTTTTGGCCTATATGGCAGGATTGCCTATAGTATGTTTGGTATGTCTCAATAATACCTCCATGGTAATAGAGTAACTTGCCAAAATTCGCAATGACTCTGAAATTTATTCTCACATACTGCCCCCATAGTTGTACTACGAGTGGAACAATACAGAAAACATAACGTCGTGATTAGTTAGGCCACTGGAAGAAAACTACTACTACACCACATCTGAATCTGATGCATATAGGCCTAGGCCTAACCTAGGCCTGGACGTTTATCGGTAATCGTGCGGTTTTTACAATGAATTATTTTTTTTAATTTTAATTATTTAAATATTTATATTTTCCATGAAAACTATTTAGTAATTAAAACGTATTTAAATTAAAATTATTATACAACGAACTATTTTGTGAGTTGGTATCAATCCGCTATCATCTCTATCGGTCTTTTTTTTCGTGTGCAGTGAAAATGGTGAGGATGTTTGTTACACGTGTGGGCATTATTTTTCTAAATAGGAAGTCAATCGGCGATTTATTAAGTGAATAAGTACCATTAAAAGACATTAATAGTGTTAAATATCTATTTATGACACTTACATATGCTGCCTTGTTTAATTTCACATAAATAATGAGTATTTATTTTACCGTATTTCTAAGCCCCACCTCCATCCATCCAGCAGGCCAGGGAACCCATCGCATTTAGGCGCCTATCTAGGCTAGGCCCTAGTATCTAACCAAACTCTACCGACAGTAACTAGGCCTTACTACAGTATTACTCGGCTAGGCCTACAACTGATGTACTCTAAGCTTAGGCCTATGCTAAACTAGTGAAAATATATCCAGCCCAAGAGTAATATTCTAAAAATGGCCACACAGACAGATCAGTTTAACTGTGTAGGGCCTAGGCCTTTAAACTGTACAAAATTCTTTTTACAGTAGGGAAGCCTAGGGGGCTTAGGCCTAGCAAAAGAAAAGAAAGTACAGTAGCTGTACTTAGTTTGAAAAAGCTACAGTAAATGTCATTACGTACGTCCAGGTTGTAGCTGTAGAATAGTAGGGTGGGTGATAACATTGGTAATCTCTAATAAGAGTGGATTTTAAGGATAGGCAAGGGGTTAATATTAAGATGGGTGAATGGCCATGAAATTTGCTTTAGACTGGGTGGAAAACTTCAAGAGTTGGTGGCGCCACCCACCATAAGTTATAACTACATCTGTGTATGTCCATTGCTGTTGTTAAAGGTACTTTTCCCAATCGCAAACATCATTCGACCAGAATCCAGATCGACATAATGAACTTCACCAATCGCACCATTGTTGTAAATAGATACAACCTTTATATTACAGTAGTATGGATACATTTTAAGTGCCTAACAGCGATTTGGACACTACGTAAAGTTGCGTAAATTTATGGTTGCATGTATATTCACAGGTATGAATTTTAGTCGGATTGTAATGCTGGTAATTTTGAGTATATATAACCTAGGCTAATCTCCACATCATTTGCTTGTCACAATCTGCAATGCTAAACTTGAAAGATGATGTCATGCACATTCTGAAACTTCAATGGGTGACGGTGACGTATTATGCCATTTACCGTATCCCTAGCCACGGCATTAAACAATATATTTACGTCATTGATTCTTGATCCCAAACATGGTACAGTATATGGTAAAATTTGTACACAGCATTAAGTAGAGAACTGTAGGCAGGTGTGTAAAAATTGGTATGGTAGTACATTTTCTTTCTGGTGTTGTGTCATCGCCAATCAATATGCCTTATTTTTGCTTCATGAGTTCTTTGTTACTCACAAATTTATATACTGTACTGTTTTTTAAAGACAAGCAAACGTAGGAATCACGGCCGCAACAAGAAGGGTCGTGGACATGTACGGCCTGTGCGCTGCACCAACTGCGGACGGTGCGTACCAAAAGACAAGTCTATCAAGAAATTTGTCATTCGTAACATCGTAGAAGCTGCTGCTGTTAAGGATATTGAAGAAGCTAGTGTGTACTCTGGTAAGTAGGTTAAATGGATGTGAATTATTTTCGCCACCACGCTAATTATTTGCCATCGGTTATTAAAGTGTTTGATGATGTAGCTCATTAGTTGCAGGATATATTGTATTGGAACGCTGTTAAAAAATTCATATCAACTTAATGATGTATTTCACTTAATTTTCAGATTTATTATAAGTCAATTCTCTTTTAAAAACCTGCACGCAGACATAGAATATAGTTGCATTATTACAGGCTGCTATGTTCATTTCAATTGCAGGGACATTAACTCATTGGTTTTACGTGCTTCACGGTTTTACTTCAATAACTACAGAAGCCCCGTGACCATTGAACAACGATTATCCCTATAAATACCATGTAACTTCTTGATTATCAGTAATGTATATTATTGTAATGGCTAAATTATTCAATTACAATTTCAGTATATGCCCTTCCGAAATTGTATGCAAAGTTGCATTACTGTGTTAGCTGCGCTATCCATTCCAAAGTGGTTCGTAACAGATCCCGAGAGGCACGACGCGATAGGACTCCACCACCTAGATTCAGCCCAAGAATGGTGAGTGACTGTTCAACTCTTCTGTATATAATGACCCATACGACAAGTAATGATTATCCTGCACACAGACATAAACATAACAGTATTATTATCTGGTTGTTGTGTTAATTAAATTGCAGGGACATTAAATCTTTGGTTTTTCGTGCTTTATGGTTTCACTGATAAAACCTTGTAAGCCCCGTGACCATTGGACAACATACAATCTAGAATTTATTATGAGGGTAACACGGTCACTAACCTAAAATTGTAATTTTATTATATTGTCATAGCCTGCTGTTTTGGGGATTTTTGCAAACAAGGGTTCTTCCATAGCTTTAAGTAATGCTAAGGTCTTTATTCTGTTGCAGATGTGAATGTGTATTTAATATTTTATTTCTTATTTATTACAGATGAATCAACAGAACAGACCTGGACCCAAGCCATAAGTCTGTTATATCACACAAGACTGGCCTGGACAGAGGGAGGGTTGCTTGATACAGAAATGTCATTCTGATTATAACTGATTAAAATTGGTAAAAGTGAAATAACTTTGTGACTGCTTATTTCAGTGTGTAAGAGATCACAAGAGAAATAGTATAGAAATATTAACTGCTCATGAGGGAAAAGGTAAATCTATTGCCCTGAGGTGATGTGGAAAAAGTAGCCTATCTTCCAGAGCGCCTGAGGGAAGATAGGCTACGGCCTTCTTCACTTCACCGAGGGGCAATAGATTTCACCATTCCTCGAATCTAGAGCAGTCAATATTTGTTTTATATACCTCATACATAGATTCTATGAAACCTAAAAAGTTACATATTGCCTAGCCTAGGCGGTCAAAGAGTGTGTCTAGCTTTTCTTTGCTCATTTCCTCAATTTCAACCTATCGTCTTGCAATATATGACTATTGACATTTAATTTGTCTTTTGGTGCTTTTGCTATCAGCTTTGTCAAAAAGTATAGGCCTAGCTAGTCCTTCATCCAGGAACTCCATAACAGCCTCCATAATTATTGTTTATCGTCTACTTGCTGATTCATGGTGCAGTAAAGGGCCAATCTCTTTCTTCGTAGAGGTCGCAGTCTCCTTTATTGTGAGTGCGATTGTGGGGGTTTGCACCACACGACAGATCAAGAAAGTACTATTTTTCAGGGGAATAGTACTTTTTATTGCTTGCTTGCTTAATGAATCAAGGCATATAACAATCCATAATAATAACCCACCTACATATATAAACAAAATGACATGCAATCAACATATTTATTTATTTGTCGATTTATTACTTAAAGAAGGCATTTTTCATGTGATTGTGGTGTTGATAACCCTTTGTTGAATTAAGGGCCTGCTTGGTAATTTCCCTAATGCAGAGCATTGTTCTAATTTTTATTCAAAATAAGTATATTTAGTATAACTTTTGATGGTTCATCGACCAAATGTAGCTACGACAACCAGCAGGGGTGGCGCCAGGATTTGCCCGAGGTTCCCGACAAGAGAAAGAGTGCATGGTCGGGCGTCGCTCAAAATGTCTAGAAATGGAGTCTACTAATACTGATGTGGAAAGTACAGTACATATAAATCTTATTTTCCCCACAAACGAGGAGGAACTACAGTACTACTAATTCCACTTTTATAGAACTATCTAAAAGTTTTAAAAATCCAGCAAGAATTCTTGACAGTTCAATTGGGACATGTCCACTTGCAATGCCTCTTCATGACTTCCTTTGTACACACCTACGGGTGCTTTAGCTCCATCATCTTTAAAACATTGTAGCCATCCTGTGATTGGTACACATGGTGCCCCCCCCCCCCCAATGTTACTCGAAAATGTAGTTCATACACCACATCTACACTTGCTTCCTTTATGTTTTAACATCAAAATGGGTTAGAGAAGTTAGGTGGTGTTATTCATACTTTCTATGAATTGCTGACGTGTAAAGCTGGAAGTGGATAGGGTTTAAAATTTTCAAGTGCCTACATTAAGCTTAGTAATAGTAACCCACCATAAAAAAACAAAGAATAGTAAGCCAGGGATGGATACAAACTCATAAAAATTTACATTTTAAATTAAAATGCAGACCATGTTCAAATGTGTTATACACTGTACACTTGGTACAAATTTATTTTCAATCGCAGTCAAGGCACTTCACATACAAGAAATCATCTTTGAATAACAAAGATGATACAGAAAAGTAACTGCTGTGGAACATTACATCTAGCATCTTAAAATACTTTATATTATTATACTATACTAAATGATTACTTAGCCTCCTTGCTACTGAAGCTATACCAGCATTGAATTTGTTTTAAAAATGTATAGAATTCAAAACAAGAATACATCTCTCTTAATGCAATATACTGTACAATCTAAGAATGTGCAATTTTCGATTTGTAGAATTTAATGTTTACTGGCCTTAAATTTTTAAAACTAAAAAATATAAAAATGGTTTGAATGGACATAAAAAATAAGTCATGTCACCTCTGGAGGGATAGAAATAACTGGCTTAATTATGCTAAAGTTATTGGCCTGCAATTGCTGGTTATACCTAAATGTTTATTTTTGATGGTTTCCCCCCATTTAATAATTTTAGTGAGTCCACATGCACCATTAAGCCTGATGAAAATGTCAACTAAACTGGATTGGAACAATGGACCGTACTTCTCTAGAGTCGCAATCAAACTTTATAACTGACCAATCCAAACAAGCACATGTGATGTCCCACAAATGCCTTTGTGTTTGTGTATATTTTGTGGGACCTTAGCAAGGTCTAGCCGAAAGATGCAACACGCGTTGGTATGATGCATCATAGAATATACTATACCATATTATAAAATGGGACTCTGCAACCAGGAGCATGCTTGATGTCAAAATAAGTTATATTTAAGTTTGTTTTTTTAAAAATTATGCCGCATTTCAAATTGACCAGAAAGTTGCAATGAATTTCACATACAACACCATATCAATGGAGGTGGTGACACTATTTTCTTGCCATAATGATGATCTGATTCCTGCAATAGAGCCTACAGAACAATCTGGTACAGGTGAATCAGGGGAATGTCAAAACAATTGTACAAAACTAAAACACGGTCATACAGTGTATTTCTACTGGGACTGCTTTGTCCAATTTATTCTTGCGAGAATTGTAAACATTAGGGGGATAGGTAAGATAAATGAAATTTGTAAATACATTACAGTATTGTACAGGTAAATATGAGAGGGAAAAGGTACAACAAACTAGAAGGGTGGTGATGGGACAATGTAGGTACAAGGGGGTAGGTGAGCCATGGGACAATGTAGGTACAAGGGGGTAGGTGAGTCCTAAACGTTTAGGACAAATGGAATTTAAGAGGAAGGCTGAGGAAAAAACAACTAGTGCTGAGAGGGTGGGGTTGGCATGACCAGTGCCATAGGAGATTGTTAACATCATGGAGAAGTAATTTTCATGTCTTAATCAAACATCTAAATACATAAGGAGCTCTTTACCCCCGAATCCCACCAGGGCTCTGCCACTGTGGACCCTGCTGGGGGGCTTTGTTTGTCAAAGGATCCCAGCTGTCGGGTCCCCGGGGCCGCTGGATAATTATACTGAAAGGAAATATAAACATAGGTCAAATAGACAATGGAATGCCAATGAATTATATGAAACAATCAAACATTATATTCAAATAGTTATGCAAATCTGTTATGTACAACAGCAATGTTTAAAATTGATTTAACCAAGAATACATATCTAAGGGTAGATTGAATTTCAATCCACTGTACATCATTCAGGTTTAACATAAACCCCATATTTTTTCAATTTATACAGAATAAAATTGATAATAATTACAATGACTATGTACAGATTTTTAAAAACATCATATACAAAGAGATATTTTGCAATGCGAATTTGCAGCAAATTCAACTATACAGCAGAAATTATTGCCAACATGCTAGCCGTAACAGCAGCTCCTATTAATTTTTGATCTTGGGAAAAAATTGCCATACCAACCCAAGTAAAACTGAATGAACCCATATGGTGACCTCCATTACTATATGGTGACTATAAGGAGGGGAAGCGCCCTATACGCTCATTAATTTTCAAATATATTTGTCTGTATTTTTAATTGATTTTGCAAGCCCTTTGCTCACCCCTCTTTAACTCCCCAACCCTCCAAACTATATGCTTGGTGATTACCATGGAAATAGTCTATTTGTATACTAAAATAACAACAGGTAAAAATTAACCGACCAGTCATGGAGTATCCAAACAGAACTAATCATAATTAAATATTTGGGATTAGTTTATATTTCAGTTGATGAAAACCGCAAGATTACGAGGGCTGTTTGTTCAACTATTACACAATAGTATGAAAGATTTATCTGTTATAAGCCCTCTCCGAAGTACCAGTTTGGATACGCATTATAATGGGTAACAAAGAATTGAGTATGAAATTGTTCCAACTAAGATCCACCATTAAAAAAAAATATATATATATATATATATAAAAAAGCAACAAAAACTTGTAAGATATGGATTTGATTTGAACCTAATTTAGTTGTTTAATTGTAATATTAGGCCTAAAATTTCCTGATGATTGTGGAAAATTTAATTATGAAAATAAACACTGAAAAGTAAAAATATGTGACTAACCATCCATATTTTTAGAAAAACATTTCTTTTGAGGTATGGCATCACAAATTTGTAAAAATAACCTGAGGTTTCTGGGGACTTGGGACTCTATCTATTTACCAGTGGCAGATCCAAGGGTGGCTCCCCTACCCTGACACCCCCCACCCCCACCAGCGACATCATAACAGATTATGGCAAAACCAACAATAGGTAAGGAAACACCCTTAACCCACCCTGATAAGTTCTGCCCCTCTCAGACAATTGATCCTGAACTGCCTTCCCCTTGCACACCCCATCCGCCACTGTCTACCCACTACATGTCAAGTATTACGTATTCTGGTATTCTCTAAACCTACAACAGATAATTTTGTTATTTCTACAGTACAATGATCGTAATCTATAGTCTGATTACAGTACTTCCCTATACAAATCAGGAAAAACATCTGTTTACCTACATCTTAAATTGTTTTCTTTAATTGATTATTTCACATTTACATTGCAATAATAAAAATATGAAGTATTTATCAAATATAGAAGACACTAAATAATGTTTAAAATTATTCTTTACATTGTTAAAATCAAATAATATCTAGAAGCAATAAATAATTACCATTGCATACCATTCAATGTTTAAAGATCGAAAAACTCCTATCACTTATAAGGCCAAATAACAACAAATATTCATTATTGACTTTTTGACTGAGTAGCCAATTTTCTCCCCTTTTTTTTTGAAGAGAACGGCCACATGCCCTGTCATATATATCTAGGCCTTATATATGCCCAGGCACATACAAATACCAATTGCCTTTTTTCTGTGTGTTTTGACTATTGAAAAAAAAAAACAAAAAAAAAAAACAGGAATGAAGGGGGAAATTTTTAAAAAGCTATGTGATATGACATCATGAATGATGACATAATTAATGTCGAAATATTGAATCCCAACACGATGGCGTGTATTTCAATATGACATCATCATGCCCATATTTGGGTATGGGTGTGATATGAAATCATCATGCCCGTATATGGGTGTGATGTGACATCATCATGCTCATATATGAGTATGGGTGCGATATGACATCATCATGCCCATATATGGGTATGGATGTGATATGACATCATGCCCATATATGGGTACAGTTGTGATATGACATCATCATGATCATACATGGGTATGGGTGTGATATGAGATCATCATGATCATACATGGGTATGGGTGTGATATGAGATCACAGATATCTGTTACAAAATTTGATAGTGTGGCTAGAGACTTAATAGTATCTAACTTCACATTTATTCTTTTTTCTAAAATGTTTTAATGAGCAATACCTATGGTATTTACATATAAACTGGTGAAATAATTTACAATTTTATATTTATCATAATTTAATAAAGCCTTTTTATTTTCTTAATATTAATTATTATTTTTTTAATTGTAAATTTAAATTATCTATTTGCACTCATAAGCTCATGCTACAATGTATGTTTTTTAGATGTATTATTATCATATACATTTGATTTAGTAGGAGTACAAACATAAGAGTAAGAGATTCAAATAAGGTATTTATCCTTATATGTCCTTATTGTTAAGTATTTTATGGTCGAACTAAAAAAAGTTTTAGTTCGGTGTTCATACAAAATACGATCATTTTGAAGGGTGTTTTCTCACGCACACATATATAATCGGTTTTTTTTTAACGGAATCAAACCTAAACATTAACTTTAAAACACATTTGTGTTCTATCTCAAAATCAGTTTTCTTAAAAACAAAACCGGATCACAACTGACCTCTAGTGTTAACAATAATTTGTGTTCTATCTAAATATCAACTTTCTTAAAAACAAAACATGATATAATGTACAGTATATATACTATTCAAAAAGTTTTTTTCACATTCAAACTACAGTACTGTGTTAAAAATACACCAACAGAATATGTCAATGTTCGAAATTTCACATTTATGAATACACCTCAATTCTTGTTCTACAAAATAATGCCACGTAGTTTGGAAAACACAATTTGTATTACTTATGTTCGATAAAACAGTAACAAGTAGCAACGCTAGGATATGAATTGTCCTCTATTGGCACCACCACTGGGCGTAACTACACGAATACTACTTAGAATATAGTCGAAAAGTGTATCGAAAATGTATTATTTACAACATTTCTGTTGCTGTTATCTTCTTTTAAAATATTTTTAGAAAAACCGCCCACAGCAGCTGCACTGAAAAAAAAAAACTTTCAAAGCTTCTCTCAAAATTTCAAATATAAATGAATAGAGAAAAGTACTAATTATTTCAGAATTTTAAAATTGTAGTAATAATAATCATTTTATTTAGAATGATTCAATTTTTCTCTCAATTAAAAATATATTATCTATTGGGTCACGTAAATTATTTTGGCAAATGTAACATTTTTTATGCTGAGTTGAACAGTTAAAATTTGACTGAATGATAGCATGATAATGATAAAACTTTCAGTTTTTACTATATGGGTCATACACATGACAACTATTTTAAGATTAAAGTTAAAAGCTGCATGAAAAATTAATTTCAAAAATTGCATATTCATTCTCCTGGTTCCAAAAGATAATTTTGGAACTATTTTTGTCCAACCAAATTGGTAATACTATTCAAGCTGAAGCTAGCTGTATGCTTTCTTGCTTTATAACAGCAGCGTTTACTTTATATTGTTCCGCCTCAGCTAGGTGCCTCATGTCATCTTCTATAACGGTTTCGGGCAACTGACCGTTTTCACAAGTTTTATCGTTGCTACACCTAGGTTCTTCGATGATAACCTCTACTGGTTCTGATTTCACGTGGACACCACCATTGGTATCACCAACATTGTTCGTAAGTGTCCTGTTCTCTCTTTGTTTACTTCCCCGGTCAGAATTCTCTTGTAGCCACTCTGTATTTTGAACATTATTTAAATTATTTTGGGCAGTAGTCACCTGAACATCGTTGATTGTACTACCTTGGTTAATATTATTGATTTGTTTATGCCTGCCTTTTGGGCCTCTGTGGAATTCATGTAGATCTCTTTGCTTATCCAGTATCGCACGATCTTCCATATTTCCTTCTCTTTCTTGCATATTTCTCTGTCTGCTTTGCATATCTGCATGCTGTTCATGCATATCTCGCTGTCTCTCTCTTTCTTGTATTTCTCTCTGCCTTCCTTTTTCTTGTATATCTCTTCGCTGCCTCTCTGCCAACTCTTCTTGCCGTTCATACATTTCTCGCTGCATATCTTTTCGTCGTTCTTGCGTAATTGCCTGCCTTTCGAATGCCTCCCTCTGCCGCTGTTGCAGCTCTCTAAGATTATCTTGCTTTTCTTTCAACTGTTGAGCTGTTGAATGAACTGATATGGTTCCTCCCTGATAGTTTATCTGACATGATTGAGATATTGATGGGGCAACAGTTGCCCGTGGCTGAGCTCTGACAAGATTAGGTAACGGTAAGCTGACATTTATTACATCTTTGGCAGGGTATCCAGAGTGAAACTGCAAATTTGAAATTGTCTGCTGGTTTGTCCGTTGTGGTGGGTGACCACTGCGCAGTAACTGTTGAACTGTTACTGAGCCAGATCTTTGTGCATCTATTCTTTGCTGTTCTTTTTGGATAAGGTGAGGTGGTGGTACCATGTGTAAATATTCTTCAGGCCTTGGTGGTCGTATAGCCTCTCTATATAGTGAGAGATCACGATTTGGTATTGTCGATTGTGCTGGGTAGCTCCTTGGCGGCCGGACAAGCTGCATAGTACCAGGTCCTGCGGAGGTATACTCGTAGGAGGTGGGAGGAATTTTAGCACCTCTGCTGATGGAGTACAATGGAGAGTTGTCCACCAAGACCATTCTTGCTCGTGCTTCACTTTCAAGCTGTGACTGAGTATAGTAAGGTTGGTTAGTGACGAGGTCTGCAGCAGCTTGTCTGCGAGCACCCCCTTGTAGGTATCTCTCAGGAATGAACCCCTCTCTTGTAGCGTCGCTAAACGCTTCCCTGACTGGTTCCCTTGTGGCATGCCGCGCATGCTCTATGTGGCTTGATAAATCTAAGGGTATTGTACTTTCAATTACTTGGCCTGAAGATGTCTGAGGTCTTGTCACTCCAACTAAATTAGACACAGTTTGCTTTTGACTGAGGTCCAACGGGGTCGGTCTGTCTGGCGTTTCTGTTGATTTGCTGCCCCCTACTCTCAAATCTAAGGCACTTGTGTATGCTGGTTTGTTTCTCTCATATCGCATATCAGAAGTGGAATTTAAAATCCGCCAGTTCTGAAAAAGGAAAAAGGAAGAATAACATTATAAATAGAAGCACATTAAGAATTAGACACGACATCCGTGTAATATCAAATTTGCATCAATATGATGATGTATGAATTAAAATGTCAATAATTCATAGCACTATAGATTGTTCAATTGAATTGATAGAGATTATTTTCCTCTCATTTTCTACTACGGTATTCATTTCAGGATACGTAAATTAAGCAATTTTATATAAAGTATAATTACTAGGTGATAGGACAAAATCTTGCTATAGTTTAAAAATTGTTTTCTCATTGGAAAAATTAAAGTTGACCAAGTGCTGGATTAGAACATAGGACCCATGAATTAGAAGGTCATGCGAAACAGCGATAAACTTTTTTGGCCTCATATCGGAAGATAAGGGGTTTAGAGTCTGAGCCAGAAAAATGTATATTCCCTTGGGAAAGGTAGTTTTTCCGGCTAATCACTTTCCACCCAAGAAGTAAAAAGTAGGTACATACAAGGTTTCAAGAGTTTTGAAACTCTGACCATCAGGTTGAGAGTACGAGCCTCAACCACTGCGCCAAACGTTTATTGATAGACAGACAAATAATAATAATAATAGCACAATTAACAAATATATTGTTGGGGTACTCATAGCCTATATCTTACCTCTTGCATATTTTTAGGTAATGGTGAAGACATTTCTGAGTCTGTATCAGCTGACTGAGTCTCCACGGAAGACAATGACACAACATCATCTCCAACTGGTTTTGTACTTCCCTCAGCGCTCTCCGACGGATACTTCCCAACCCCTGGATTGCCGGGAGTCGACTCCTTCTCTCCACGGATTTCTGCATGCCTCTGCGCGGCAAAATGCAGCTCCATTCCATCAACACTATTACAGATAAAATCGCAGTTCGGACACTGAATAAATGTTATTGTTTTCCCCTGACATACACAATGAAAAGCAATAGGACGCGGGATGCCATCTGGGAAAGGTTTAGTTGGTTGACCGGGAATCATATACTGCGGCTCAGGTTCTTTGTCGTTACCAACTTTAATTGATGAAGATCCTGCGCCACAGTTTGTCCCAACAATAACTAATGTCTCTTTGCCGGATTGATCAGATTGCTTTTCTCCGCGATATTGTCCTGGTAATGCTTGGTTATTCATCATGTTGTCCACCATCACAGCATTCTTTTTCTTCCTTGGTCGTTTTGGTACATTCGAAGGGTAACCCGTCATCACCATGCTGATGTTGCTCATTCCCGGTAACATACCAGGGTTTAATGTCCTCACCTCAGCTATTTTAGGAACTGGGATTGATGAATTGGGCATTGTTTCAATCCCTTGGTATCGTACGTCATTACTGGCTGGCGGCTGTATATGATTTTGAACTCCAGAAATATCTAAAAAGATAAAACAATACGGCAAAATTACATTTCAAAAATACACTAGTAATCACCACCTTCTCAAATAAAATAGATTATATCACAATAAGAGTTAATGTATTCTCAATGTACTATTTCCTTTCCATACCTTTATTTTGGTTGATAATAAATATCATTTTATTCAGGGATTTGATGCTGCATACATAGGATGTTACTTTTTCTTACCTACATAATTTTTGAATTTTTTTCATTTTAATTTGACACATTCAGTGGAAAGAAATAAATGCCAATTTTTACATGCAACAAAAAAATCCTTATTCCATTCCACTCACTGATTAATCAATAGTGTTTGCCTTCTATATTTAAATTTAATGAAGATCTACTACTTCTTTTTGACAACTGCTGTGCTGTTTGCAAAGCTAGAAACAAAAAAAAGCGTCTCTCAAGTAATCAAGGTATATCTCTGTGTCCCAAAGATATGCTTATGACACTATGTTTGGCAAAATCCTACGCTTAGACATCTGAAAGACCAATTCAGCCATACCAAAAAATGAGGTTGTGAGGAAGGGCATTTAAAGCTATTAAACTGAATTATTTGCCTTGTAAAGCAATAAAAATATATTAGTAGTTTTCCGAGCGAAACCGTCACATACAAAAAAATAAATAAAATGAAAAATTTTTCTAAATAATTGAGCTCACCTGTTCTAGGGATAAATGCTTCAACTGGCATTCTCTGCAACGGCATCATTTGGATCCTAGGGAATCCACCTGGAACAGTTGATGGAATGAATCCTTGAGGAATGCTACGTGTGCTTCCTGGGTACATACTCCTAGGGGGAGGTACTCCAGGTATGATGACACCAGGGGGAAGCTGGCTAGATGAAGTCATATTCCCCGGCGGTCCGTTGGATCCCACACAGCTTATTCCACCTCCTGGTGTTTGAATCAGAGGAGGGGGACCGCTGATTGACATGTGTTGCTGGTCTTGACGACGGAGTTTAAGTAGAGCTCGTATAGTTTCGTGTTCTTGGTGTGTTCGTTCTGGCTGGGGTGACTGTTGGCTTGAATGAGGGGACTGTTGGTTTGACTGCGGAGAAGGTTGGCTAGACTGGGGGACTTCTCTTACATGGCCTGTGTCATTGTTTGGCAATTCAACCTGATAGAATAAGTTTATAACTGTATAAATAATCATCATTATGGAAATAAAAGTCAGTAATTAATAACAACAACACAACATATTATTTATAATTACGTTTATATTTTTGTTATTATTTTTGTTGATTATTGCTACAAAAAACAATATTACTACTGTACGGTATTACCAGTTGCGGCACCAGCTACTGAAATTTGGGGAGGGGGAAAGTAAGAAGAAAGGTAACATTTGTTTTGGGCGGGAGAAATATGTGAAGGAGAAGGGGGGGGGTGGAGCAATATGCTGTGGTGGGCATAGTCCGAAAAAAATGACAATTTAGGGGTTCAGAGGCTTATTTAATCAATTTTATAGATAAATAGTCTACTAATATGTAGAAAATACATATCACTTCTTTTTCTCACTGACGAATTGTGTTTTTTTTGGGGGGGGTGCGAAACTGGAGGGGGAAAGAAAATTATCTAGGGGAGGGAAATTCCTCCATGCACCGTGTAGCACTGCCAATGGGTATTACTATATACAATAAGAAAATGTTTTCAAGTTACATCCTCTATGTTGAGCTGATAAGCTTGAATGACAACATTCCAAATCTGAACCTCTTACTTTGTATATTAAGCAAATTATTATATTTCAATTGGAAAAGTATTAGAATCAGACAATGTTTATCTTGCCAATTAAGTAATAGATGAATAAATTATACTGTTCTTAAGCTTCGTCGAGATTAACAAATTTTCTTTGACAAAAAAAATTGTTGTATGCCCATATAAAGTCATGAGGTGCCTATATATGGTCATGATGTGAAGTCATCATGACCATATTTAGGCATATGTCACATATTTTGGTCAAATAAAATTCATAGTCTGGACAGGGCTTTACGCTCTGACCAGATTATCAAATTTTATTTGACAAATAAACTATTGTATACCCATATATAGTCATGATGTGATGTCATCATGACCATATTAGGCATAACACATATTTTTGTGGCATGCTTTATAGTCAGGGCTTTATATTCTTTAAATGGCCCATACAATGTTTTAGTTAAAAATGCTCACTTTTATGGAGACCATACTTTAGATGGAAATTTACACTGAATAAATTTCAAATTTAACAGATAATTGTTTGTATAGAACATAATTGACATTTATTTACATAAAATTATTGATTCTAATCTACAAATAAAATCTTAAGAAAACTACAGGATTTAACTATTTACATCTTTGTGATTTAACTTTCAAGTGAAAATATTACTATTTAAATTTCTGCTTTCCCAGCAATGTAACTATGTTTATTCCTCAAATATCTGACTTAATCGGTTTCATATTTTCTTCTAATAATATACAGCATTTTGAAATGTGAAGATTCTTGCTACTATATTCTGAAAAGAATTCACACAGGACTCGACTTGTAAATCAACCATTGGCGACCTTTCTGCTTAATTGTATTCACAACACAAACTCAGAATGAATGACGCAAGCCAATGACGATATTTGATAAATATTACAAGTGCACTTCGTTTGAAACTAAAAATAACCATTTTGTCCGCTGCCTCAGAGCTATGTTACCGTAGCAGCACCGCAAATATTCACTTAATGTGCCAGACTTGGAATTTACTAAATTCATGTCGAAACGATGCGTTGCTATTTTGATCACCCAGACATCATATTCAGTGCCAAGTGACGGCAAAGACAGTTGCCAGGCCAACCAGGAAATGTGACAAATCCCCTCGTAACTAAATTTGCAATGCAAGGAAAATTTCCTAGAAAAGTGTTGAGTTCAAAGAAGTGATCTTAATGTATATACAACGGTTTCTGTCAAATAACGTACATGAATCTGACTTGGTCATAGTTAAATGCCTGTATTGACGTCAACTAACAAGTTTCACAAGGAGCAGACGACAAAATGCTACATTTGTGAAGTAGGTCACAGACTTATTAACAAGTTTGCATTAAATTTGAATCACAAATCTTGTGAAATATCTACTATTAATTCAAATAAGAAAAAGAAACTGACAAACCAAGAGACTTTAATTTGTATGCTGGAAATGTAAATTAAAATCTAAGACATTGGAAGAGATGAAATATTTGAGAGATGCGATATTGGTCTATAAGACGACTCACTCCATGCCTACTGTACATGCTTTGTAACTCGACTGTTGATTGACCAGAATTTTCTCAAGCTAACTATAACATTGCTTCTATAAACGCCACAAAAATGGTGAAATTATCATGAAACCAGAAAGCCAACAAAAGGAAAGGATAAATTAAAAATCTCTTGAATTACATGAATGCAGCCTTATTTAAATAGAAAACATATGCTATGAATTTTTATTAAACTATTTACATTAGTGAGCTTCAGGTTTTTCTAACATGTTATTACAACACGTTATTATGTGTTATATATGTATTTCAATGATGCTACTGTACCCAGGAAAACAAAATCATGGGAGTTGGTGAAGTCAATTAGAGAAACTTGAATGTTTCTAGCTACTTTAATTTTCTTTTTTAACATTTTAGAATGTTGATTGGATTGGATTGGAATTGTTCGGTGTCAACACCAAGGATAACCCAAGAAATTTAATCGGGAGACAGTCGCCTAATCTTTTCTGAAACATGTATTGCATTCTTCGAATGTGAATGTATTCTGCAAGTCTTCTTCAGATTTTGTCATTTTTTCCCTTCCTGTTTCAATTGTTTATCAATATTTTATTGGGACCCCAATAGAAAACAATCCTTTTTTAGGATTAATTGTCCCGGTATTGCGTTGTCGATGGATTTGAAATAAAAACAAGAAAACAAACAAACACATGGGACCAATGACATAAACGTCTACAAAAAACGGTGCGCTAGTGAAACTTTCAGCCCTCCAGCTAAAACACAAGGAGAGAGAAGCGATGGGAATTAAACCAAATACCAAGAGATGTATTATGCCTTATGAGTCATGGTCAACAATGGGAGGGGTTAAGCCCCTTGCATCCCCCTCCCCTAAGACTGCCACTGCTCCTATAGTTACCATTTCCGTTTTTTTTCAATGCAACATTATTGAAATGTCATACAGCACTATAGAAATTTATCATTATCATTACTGGAGTCAAATAAATGTTATGACTAATGGTATGAAGGCTTAAAATAATATTATGTTTTATCATAAGGGTCCAATTAGAGCTATGATATATTATTGTTTCAAACAAAATTGTTTGGATGGCTGTCTTATTAACATGAATTGTGCATTTATTAATTCATTATTGTTGCTTTTGTCAGCAATGATATAAAAAAAAATGTACAAATGTCATTTACTGCCGGATGGACAACAAAGAAATATGTCTTCTACTCTAAATTAAAAGCATTATAATTTTTTTTCCAACCCCTATCCCTAACAATGGTAAATAACTTTGACATTATTCATACAGAAGCTTATTAAAATTGTAAAAAATGAATATACTATTATATACTAGGGAAAAGGCAGTTTGGCGCAGTGCAAACTGTTTTTGCAACCTCAAGGTCGGGGTTTCAATCCTTCGCTGTACATTTCACTTACTGTGTGTGTAGACAAGTATTACATGAATACCCTTGGTGAGCCCCAAATGTAAGAGTTGTAGAATAGGATGAGGTCACAGAAAATAGTACTGTACATTATGTGGTTGTTTTATGCGCCTCCATAGCTATCGATGTTTTGTTTACGATTTTATCTGGATATTGGTAGGAGCCTATGTATGTCTCCCTTAGGCTTTCCTTTGTTAATTTGAATAGTCCTTTTATCACACTTTTTTCCCCCAGATTTCAAGATTTGTTGTTGCTGTTTGATGTTTATGTAAGAAGGCATTGAACTTAATTGCAATTCAACTTAGTGTGCTATGTGAATAAACAAGGAACAATAAACGAACAAGTAACAATCTCATAGGTAGTGAGTTCAATATTGTTACATTTATTTTGATGAAAATAACAACTAAGGTGACGATGACAACATAAATGTGCCCTCTATAACCTAAAAACATATCTTTAGAGTGGTGATAATACTGTCGAAAACAGTGTTGATAATAATGATGATATTGATGATGATGTGATAATCACAACAGCAATGATAGATTATGAAGCACTTGATAATTCATAATGAATTTATAAATTATAATATATTATTGAAGATACAAAAAAAAATTTGTATCTTACCTGAGGAGACCTACTGCAAGGTGTCGCTAGGCTCAGTATCCTTGGCGGTCTATGCATAGCAGTTGGCATCTGCAGCGTTGACATATGCGGAGGTGAGAATTTGTCTGATTTAGCGTGATTAGGGCTTGAAACTAACCTCCTTTCTGGACTTGGTGAAACATTGATGCGGAGAGGACTTGACGCTGATGTTTGGCTGACTGAAGGCACAGGAGAAGGAATCAAAGAATGATAGCCTGGACTTTGAGGAGAGTGGCCTAGAACTCTTGATGGTTGACTGACAACCAAGTGTGGAGATTGTGGTTCCGGATGATGTGGAGACATACTGGTCAACTGCTCTACAGTTGATGTGTTAGGTGATTTATCAGACTGGTTGTTGGGTACAGGAGGGGTTGAGGGCACTGGAGTTGAAGTCCTGGAGAGCGGTGCTGAGCCTTTTGGTGAGGCTGGAGGTGTGGCTTGTGCCAATGGTGGTCTGGGACTTGGCACTGCAGGTGATAAAGGAGGCTTTGAAAATGGTGATACAGGATTTGACCTGTACGGCGACATCGGTGAACGGGGAGCAGGCGATGTTGCTGGAGATCGTGCCGGTGATCTGGACCCACTTGGTGACTGTCCAGGGCTTGGTGATCGTCCATATCTTGTACGAACATACTTTGAACCACGAAACAGTTTCGGATGGCAAGAAGTTGGAAATTTCGGGACTGGAGTTGGTAGTGCTGGTCCGCCAGAGTCTTGAATCTTTTTACATGGCACACAAACAACCATGCCAAAGAATGCAGTTTCTGTGCCATCTGCAATTATTTGCCTCTGGCATATAAAACAACGAACACCTCCAGTGCTTGCTTTATACTGATTAATGTCTGGTTTCTTAAATAGGTCTTCATTTGTTGAAGCTGTTTTTGAGCCACTTTCTTCTTGGGTTTTATCATGTGGCTAAAAAATATGACAAAAACAAAATTCATGTAAGTAAAAAACATATCAATTTCAACTAGAGTATTTATATGATGAATTTATTATAATTATGTAATGTACATAATACAAATAAAGTACATGATGCAGTGTTGGTGACAGTGAGTGGGCACTTTCCCCCATCGGACAGGCCTGGACCCCGCATGGTTCAGATCCCTCTGTCAGATATTTCAGACCCCCTGTCGGCAAATTTCTGGAGCCACCACTGCATAGTGGCACTCTTAAAAACAAAACAAAAAAAAATACATATGCTCATAAGCATCAAACTCTGTGCCAAGTCCTCACATAAACACTAAAGCATGACAACATTGGTCTAAAGTCAAGTTCACTATGGGGGAGACACTGTGCCGACTATAACTGGCCAACAGCATGAAATGTGTATGCAACACATTGTCTTTAACAACGGTCAATGAGCAGATGGCGTCGCATTGTTAAGTGCTCACAGAAAATGAGATGGTTTTGTTGCACAACCATCATTGATACAGTGTGTGCCTAGTGTTAGAAATCTACCTGCATTTGAAAACGACACACATGAGCCATGTAAGTTATTAATTATTATTATTATTATTATTATTTCCATCAATTTATTTTCATCAATTTTTATTATAATTTTAATCATTTTGCATGACAGTAAAGAGAATAAACATTCTTATTGTTGAAGTTGAACAAGAGATTTGTAAAAAGTTATTATCGCCAACGTCTTATGACATGATTCATGATGATGATGATTGTTGTAATTATTAGTACTGTATTATTTGGCATTAGCATTAGCACTAGTAGTACTACTGTTATTTGGTTACTGTATTATTATTATATTATAAATGTGTCCGTTTCTTACCATGGGATCATAATGTTCACACTATAAAATATTTTTAAACTTGCATCGCAGACAAATGCATTTGCGTAGGTTAAAACTGTGGGGGCGTATTCCATAGACCAAAGATTATATAGGCTTATTTACTACATAGCATTCACAATATATCCTTCTAGAATATCAGATTGCCATTAACAATAATGCTACTAGTATGAACATTCAGTCATCCATTACTTTGCTATCAATATATAACTCTGAATATTATGCAAAAATTAAAAAGCAAATTATTTCAAAATTAGAGTTCTTGGAAAGGATAATGACAGCATGTACGTACTTACGATATTAGTGAATACTATTAACCTTTTTAAACCAGCTATAGACTTCGTCATCACCCATTAAATTTTCATTAATTTTAGGAGCTTTTGGAAATAAATCAACCTTTAAATGTCTCTAAACCCAGATGAACTACGTTAAAAATATTTATACAAAATTATGATGGTGATTATTTATGTACCTACAAGTACAACACACAGAATGATAGTTAGTACACACCTAAAGACGGATGAAAAGAAAGAAATATAGCCAAGGGCATTAAGGGCATTACTTCTGCTCGCAGAAGAAAAATGGTTTTAGTACGGGGGAAATCCTCATTTTAGGATTCATTTTAAGTACAATACTGTATTATGTCCATCATTGATGTTCTGTGTATGGGATGATATTAGAATCAGGCCTAGAAAAAAATGTTTGTGCCTCCAACCACGAAAGTTGTCTCGATAAAATGCTTCCAGCACCAAATGTTGTCTGCACACTATATAGCCTATCAGCTTATTTATTTATTTTTTCCCCCCGAAATGCCTCCGTAACATTCATGTTGCCTCCGACCTCCGGTCACAGACTTTTTGCACCCCTAATTAGAACACGACCAGGAACTAATAAAATTATTCATGGAATTCTCAAACTTGTTTTTTTCTTGAAAAACACACCAATATTATGCATTGAAGATGTAATTACATGGTTATGTTTCCTGTATATCTATATTATGTAGTCTATATACATAATATAAAAATAATTGCAGCAATAATTAGATATTTATTTTGTTATTTTCAATATGTTATGTATATTGTATGATTGCTATGAATTTACCGAGGGACGAGGGATGCAATATTTACTACGTAATAAGTTTGTGTGTTATATGAGAATATATATATTTTAAAACTGCCATATTGATGAAGAGCACTCAGCCGCCCCCTCATTTTTGCATCCCACTTGCGGAACTACAGGCCGTTTACAATACTTGTTGTGACCATCTTTACACAATACTATACTTTAATCATTGGATGACCTTAAGTAGGCAGTGTGTAGGTTGCACCCAAATTTTCCATTGTTTGTTACACTGTACATGACTATTACAATTGCATCCTGAATGAGAAGTTTGTATTTTCAATATGTCACACACCTTGGTTATATTAAGTATAGGTAGAAAAATCATTTTTTATTGATTCCACAAAAAAATAATTGTATCTAGACATGAAGCATAAATACATTAGCACCATTATATTCATATTCTGTTTTATCTAAATTGATTTACAGTGCATTGAGAGCTTGCTTGTGTGCGTTATTATTTATTATTAATACAATACAAAACATTTTTTTAATCATTTTTTTTTTTACCCTGAGGTACTTTTCCCACATGTCACTACTATTCTCTATGCTAGTGATGTTTTCCTCAGATGACGAGGAGGAGGAGTATCATGTGTGTGGATAATTGGTATTTCATTTCACTTTCTCGTTCAACCATTACTGGCCATTATTGATATGAAGATACTGTAGGCTAAAGATTTAGTACATTGAGGTCAGATATCTACCCCAAGACTTGTTTATATCAACTTTTCTATGTTCTTTTTGTTTTTTTGGCCTCCAAACTGAACTGTATCTAAACTTCGGTCAACTACCAGTATCAATTTGTGGTACTGCTGCAAAAATCCAATAACAAATTAAATACTGCACTTTATTTTATGGTTCAATAAAAGCTAAAGTTAAGTTTAATGTAGGGGTAGTTAACCTAGCGGTGGTATTTTTAGGAAATGTTCATATCTGGCATAAATTTAATCCCTTCATATCTGTTCAGAAGCTGTTACACTCTCTTCAGCAGAAGAATAATAATAATAATAGTTCATTCTTATATAGTAAGCAAGCGCTCAATGCACTGTAGGCCTACATAAAAAACATAATAAATACAGGCCTCCCTCCAATTAAAGACCACTTATGGGACCAGGGTTTTCACTTAGCAGTGGTCTCTAACTAGAATAATAAAAATAAAAGTGACATTTGTTAATTTGGGACCACAGAAAAGTGGTCTTTTATTGGAAGTGGTCCTTAACTGGAGGGGTCTTTAATTCAAGAAGAGATCTGTATTTTCATTTCAAACCACTTTATTTCATATGAAAATAAAAAAGGAACAAGTAAAACCTCAGACTCTTGCTTATTTTGAAATCGGGGGAAAAAAAGGTTATTTTTTTCTTTTGATGACTGTTCATTTGACTACATTACAAATTTTATGAATAAAAATAATTTTTGTTATAATTTTATTGGGTATGCATGGATGCATGTGAAAGAATGAATGATCAACCATTTTATCTTGATCAAATATAAGGAGGGGTTGGCAAGAGGTAATAGAGGGTGAAGTATGTGAAACTACTGCGTAGGCGTGCCTTTGTTATTACTGTACTTTAGTGAATATACAATTTGCCTCAGGCGACGGAGAAGGAATACTTTGAGTGTGTATGTTACTTCAGTTTTGTTGGTTCAATCCCCAACGGCAATTTTTATACCAATAATGGGTGAAGGATGTAATACAGTGTTCCATTTCAGATAGGTTGACCCCTGTCCAGGCTTCTGATACACTGTCTACCCCCGTACTTGATAGTTTGTCTTTTTTTATTGCTACTAGCTCTTTTACCGATTCCCGCCATTCTGAATAAACTTTATCCGAACTCCGGTTAACTACCAGTAACAATTTGTGCACTGTCGCAAAAATCAAATAAATTACTGTATATAGTGTACTTTACTTAGTGGTTAAATTGTACAATATAAGATAAAGATGATTTTAATGCATATACAAGGGTAGTTAACTTAACAGTTGCATTTTTTGGAAATGTTATCTGCAACATAAAATCAAATTCTTCATACCTGATCTATCTGCAAAGATGTAGTAGCATTTTCCCCACTAGATTCTGAAGACTCTTCTTTACGCGACTTTTTCGCCGACGGTTCATCTGAGTATAATTGCGTATCGGGTGAACCTGTTACCAGTGAATTCTGAACTCGTTTCAAGGAATTTTCTTCTTTGTCTGCTTGCGCTTTCTGAACTGTTTCCTTTGGTAATGGGATTTCAAAGTCTAGAATAATGGGTTGTATTTTGTTTGTGGGCATCCTCTCTGAGGCAATACCCATCCCAGGTATCTTCAGAACTTCCTGAGTCTTTTGTTTATCCGTCTTGTTGACTACTATTCGGTCAAGCACAACGGCTAATTGCTTTTTCTTGGAACGCTTTGTTTTCTTTTTCTCGTCACTATAAAAACTAGCGTCAATGTTCTCAGGTGCGGTATGGGAGAAGCTAGTGTTAATATCAGATTCGACCTCGCTGTCTGTTTGACTCGGGCACTCGCTGACGCTTGATGGGGACCACGTGATCGAGTTGTCGAGATTCTTGTGGCCATCTTGACGATCATTGTGGTCTATATGCCAACTCCCATTCACCGGAAAACACTGTTGGCGAAAGAAAGTCATATTCAGCAATAATGCTCAGATTTTGTCAAAAGTACAAAAGAAACACTTACAGTCTATGGTAAAATTTGGAATAACATTAAAATTTTATGTAAAACATTTAATTGCTTATTTAATAATTTTGCCAAGAAATTTCAAGTAAATATATTTAATTGCCTTTTAAATCATTCTTCATATCTTTTTATATGCAATGTGAAGATAAAACAAACTTGCGTTTGATAATGAAAGAATTTTTTAAAAGTGTGTGCTAACATTTAGATTAGTATTAGTAGTAGATGGGAAGGTGAGGTAAAGAAAGGGAAAGTATAATAACTTTTTAATTTAAAAGAGGCTGATAATACATATTATATTAAAAATAATTAAACTGTAAAATAAAAACAATTTTTCAGTTGCTTACATCTGGATAAACGTTATATTCACCAGACATATCTCCATCTCGCCATGCCTGGATAGCACGCTTCTTAACCGGTTTGCTATTCATCGCAAGACCACGAACACCATTACGATCATACATATAAGCTAAGGGAATTTGACCGTAAGGGTACATATAGGCATCAGATTGTAGTAGTTCTCTGTCCCTTCCCACGCCATAGAAGCTTTTGCCTCGGGATATATGGCCTGAAAAGATATGCTGTTGGAAAACACCAAATTCTATGCCGTTTAACGGAGCTGAAAATTCGTTGAGAAGTAGATTCTTCAAATGCTGATGGTACGGATGAATGCAGTCTTCAGTTCCCTCGTCCCCTTGAAGTTTACTCTTCAGCCTATTAAAAACAGAAATTGGGTAAAAGTAGGCCAAACATAGTTGTCATAGTGACCATGATGAAAAAGGAATGAGAGGAACTATACAACATAATTTTTTAATGAAGCTTGATGACAAAATCTAACAAAACTAAATAAATAAATTATATAACAATATTAAAAAAATATTTCATAAAACCATGGGAATAAAAACAGATTATAAAAAAAAATAAATGCAAAAATAGTAATGTCAGTGGCAACCAAGATTGTAATAAAAATGGAAGGAATGCTTAATAACTAAAATAGGAATAAGACAATATCGGTTTCAATTAACAGTTCTGCCCACAAGTACAACATTTAATATTAAGATTAGTTTGAAGGTGTAAACTTAGGTAATTATTCATTAAAATCTAAATACAGTATCAGTAATATTACATACTGTTACTTAAATCTACTTGTTAGTCTGAGATGGTCTGAGAACAGACAGCTACGGGGTGGTTGCCAGGCGATGAACCAGATTTCATGCCCTTTTGCTATACACTGTAACTGACGTAGCATTAGTTTTCATTTAGATTATAATGACTTGTATCGCTACACATAATTAATATCATCTAGAAACTGATTAAATATTTCATTATAATCAGAGTAAAGATAGAAACTATATTCTCTACACTGCAAAACAACAATCTGTCCTGATATAGAAATACACTTGATAAATAATAAATTTAAATAAATGGATTTATTAAAGTAATAATTATTTAACAATATAACAAATATGAAATAAACAAGAAAACATTAATTATACAAATACAAACAATAAATAAATTAATAGTCCAATTTTAATCAGTAGTTTTAAGTGTGTTATTACGTTTTGAGAAATCAGTTTTTGATGATCAACTTGCAAAAACATTCAGACACCCTTTGTCTTCAAATCATTGTCTAAGAAAGTAATCAATCAGGACAATAATCTCAAGAGAGATGTGTGTGTTATACACATTTACTTCAGTTTTTGAGCAGACTAGAATGAGGGCAGTTAATTCTGTACACTTTCAGCATTAATTAATTATTAATTATGAGAATTTGGACAATGAAATTTAGTGCTTGGACCTCAATAAAAATAACCAATATCTATGACAGATTAACACACATAAAAAAAACCGACCATTATTATTATCTCAACAAACTAAACCAGAATACATTAAAAAAAATAATATCAATTGGAATAACAGTATTATCTATTTATTATTTATTTATTCAATAGCATTTATGAGAATGACACATCTAGCTTCTTAGAGATTAACAGACCTTGCCGAGCAGCACATGAAACAATGAACACGAACACAATGAATAATTATATTAGTATAACATGGATTTAAAACTGGACTAGAAACTTACTGAAAAATAGACCACAAACATAATGATAACTCTGATTATCAAGGCATCTCTATACTCTTACAGGTATAACCACAATGGATAAGGGAAAAATTACATCATCATGGTGAATACTACTAACATCAACATGGATAAGAATATGCAAATGAATAAGGATTATGGATTTCATCGGATAAGACATATAACACTATGCCACTGACCGGATCAAAGAGGATCAAAGTAGATTTAAGGGATTTGGAGTGAAGTACATTTCTTTGAAGAGCAACTGCTTATGAAATTATATTTGTATACAGTTATCATTGTCAGAAATTATTCTTCAAGAAAGAAAAATTGCAAAAAAAAAAAAAAAAACCCAGAGAATTAAAAAATATCACAAAACTTTGCATAACAAATCTTAATCAGTACTAAACTACTTAATTTTTTACTGTATATTTATATGGACAAGTAAATAATACTGGCAAGAAAGATATTATTTAGAGAAAATAATCATGATGATTAAAAGCTATACCGGTACACTGTAAAACTATTAAATTTTACGATCTTTAAATGTTTTTAGAAATTCTGCGAATCAACATTACTTGTAATAAATAGTTGTTGAATGTTTAAGTGGTCAACTTAAACGGTACGACAAAGACAGCTGCTACGGGTGAGCTTAATAGGCCTACGCATTTTTTTGAATCAGTGCCAAAATCAGTGAATAAAGACTTCTATACACAAATTATTAAGTAAGTAATGATCGATCTCATAAGTAATAATAAGACCTATGCAATACAAATTGTTTTTAATTGGCATCCTCCTACCAATTACAAACTATTTATGTTCCAATTACCATATAAATGTTGTTTTCTTAATGCAATTATGATTTTTATGCTTAAAACATTGTTTTGGTTAATGTATTTTCCATGTGCCAGTCCCATCATGAAAAGTATGGAATGCAAAAATCCTAACAATTCTATCCATAAAAAAAATAATAATTATACTAAATAATAGCATTTTCTCAGTAACTGCAAAAAAGGGGAAAAGGTTTAAAACCATTTTCATGATGTTGTTTAGTAAAATATACTGGAGTTGGATTAATTATTTTTGCTATCAAATCTAAACACCCACGCACAACTGTCCTCTTTTCATTACATGCCTTCAGAATCTACATAACATAAATATACTATCAGCTCTATGTGTTAAACATATCTCATAAAATCCTATTGACAAAAACATGTGACCTGCATAAATATGGTCATGATGACATCATATCATGACCATATATAGGCACATCATGACTATATATGGGCAAAACATGATAGTCTGTACAGGACTTTAGCATCTTTTATTAGGCCAAATATAAAAAAAAAATATGTACAGATGTTTCTTGTCTGCTCCCTTCATTTTTGTTATCTCTCTCCTCTTATAATTTCATAAGGCACAAAAACATCATATGAATTAAAAACATCCCAATAAGAAATTGCGAAGTATGGCCAGTAGGTTGAGACGAGCCATGGCGAAGTTTGTGAAGACGATGGGGAAACCTAGAGAAAGGAAATTTGTCTTCTAAATATATTCTCTAAAAGTGTTTTTGAATCCATACATATCATACACAAATTAATATATGACAACAAAATAAAAATGTTATTTGTCCATTATATTATAGCTACTGTAATTAGCAGAGGAAATGCCAATACAAATAATTAAAACAGATTTTAATGTGTCTTTGCCTTGACTTATATTTATAAAGTTTGTAGACACAATTTAAAAAAATATTATTGCACTAGATCCTACTAAACATCCATCAATACTGAGATAATTAAGTTAAGTTTATATTGTTAGAAGTGTTCTACTTACTAATAATGCTAACACAAGATCCTTACCTAGCTGCGTGAAGTGTTTTAGCAGGCAATCTCTGTATGAATATAGGCCATTGCTTGTGCTACCTGGTTTCTCAGAAATTTCCTGTGATGTCTGAGAATTCTATAGTCAAGTGCTTACTAATATATTCACACATTCCAATATTGCCAGTGGAAATGAATCTTATCACCTGACTCATTGGACATCATCAATCATTCATAGTCTGCGCACAGATGATCACATGACCAATTTGGTCACATGACCAGGTTGGGATATCATTCTATACTAAAGGTTACAGCTCTTAGATAAGAGTTATCATTAATGTGCTATGTATGATAGAATATGTATGACAATTTATTCCCCAAAAAATAAAAAGAAAGAATTTTTTTTATACCTTAATTGTTTCACAAACACACTGTCCACCAAAAATCATAAGTGTACAAGTCCCCCTTAAAAATTAAAATTTTGGGTAAAAAAAATCCTTTTTCTTTAAATAATTTTTATTCTGCCTGACCCTCCTGTGAATTCTTCAGAAAAAGAAATCTACATTTCTTCCTCACTACTATAAATAAATATAAAGCATTCAATATCCCACTACTCAACTGTTTGCATAGCAACAACACATTCTTTGGACACACACTTTTTTTTATTTGTAAATAAAATTATATTTAGATTTTCCCAAGTTCTCCACCTAGATGCTACTGGAAAAACCAATCTGCTAAATGAGAACTGTTTTGTTTTCCCACTCTCTTTGAAGATATTTTCAAAAATAAAGTTAGGTATAAAAAATATCTGGCCTACACAACATAATTTCTTAGCTCTAGTTACTTATTGTTTGTGTATTTATGCAGATGAAAAGTTACAATCGTTTCATCTCAATACTTGCAAAACTGCTGAATTAAAACATTCTTCTCTTATGGGGACATTTGGTTCAGTGGTTGAAATTCAGGCTCTCACCTGTAAAATCACAGGTTCACATTGCAATGACTAGAACATAAGATGTGGAAAGTACAACATGGTACAAATTACCAAAAATTAAGTTTACTACCATCATGAGTATACCTCAACAGTACATCTTAACTTTAGTGTTATTATATTTATCTGTAATGATATTTTGTAAATTTAATGCATTCTCTCCCTTTTAGATTGTTTTTAACACAGAACACATATGATCGGATTTTGTTCTATTAACTTTTGCACTGAAATTTTTCTACTTCGTAAATTTATAATTTAATGGATTAATGAAAGACAACAAACCTAATAAACTTGAAAAATATAATACAATATTTGGTTGGTTTCCTTGTATTTGTAGTTAGTATCATTCCTATATTATTTGCATAGATCCTTAAACTAAAAATTTTTAATTTCATTCAATAATACTCCAAAATTTGAAAGTCTAAAAAGTACAAATGTCACGGTAAAATTAGCTGGTAATCAATTTATGTAAGTTTAACAATTAAGGAATAAAATTTAACGTTACCATCCCTGTATATAATTACTATAGGTATTAGCTGCCAATATACGGTATTAACTTGTGATTTTAACTTTTTTGATATATTGTATTTTAACAAAATCCAATGTACAGTATTCTATGTTTTAGATTAAGCTTTGTATCTAATTAAGTCTCTTTTTAATATTATTATTATGCAACAAAATAGGAACATGTGTAAAATGGGTTGTCACACCCTCCTATTATATGATCCAGTATAAATATGTTCAATAAATAAATAAACTTTAGTTAAACTATACTGACCATTATATTATACTTTTTACATAGGCCTACAGTATACTGCAAGTTAAAAGTTTAAAGTTAATTTTGTTACTGATAGCATTTTATAGATGAAACAACCTAGCAGTTCATTGTTTGAATATTTCTAAGCCTACTACACGATATGTAAAAAAACTAAAATATAACAAATTAAATAAACATTTAATTACTCATTGAGAAAGATCAGAGAGGTAACAACTCCTAATGAGACAGATCAAAACCATTTAAATTCACTACGAACACAACAAAAAAATAAAATAAAAACTACTCTGGTCTTATGGGAATATGAATCAAGAAAAATGAACATTAAAATATGATTCCATCAAACTATTTCATCTGATCTTGGCAAAAATATTGATTCCCTTACTTCACAATACTCATTAAAAACATGGTTTTATAATTTTTTTTTGCATCATGTAAAAATATGTCTATTTATTTCCAAGTTAAATGAATAACCAGAAAAACAACTTTTTTTCTATCTATTTATCTTAAACAATTTTTTCTCTCTTTGATGAAGGAATCATTAAAATATTGGCAGGCATATAAGTGTGCCTTAAAATAATTACAACATACCAGGAGTGTTCTTATCAACCTAAAATTATATTTAGAAAAAATATTAACTGTCTAAAATTATGTGCTTCTGCAATGTTGGATCTTGGAATAAACAAAATAAAGAAAACTAAATTTTATTTCAGATAAGGTAGTGGGTCACTGCTCTTAACACTAAACATCTCTCATGTGTTGATCATACTGGGAAACTATTTGAATATTCTTTAAAAGTTTGACTAGAATTTTAGATGCTGTACATCTTAGTCCACATCCTCTTTAAATTTCACAAAACTGATGATGAAAATTGGAATTCAAAAGAAATACCTACCAATGTTTACTCATCATTCGTCTGTGACACTCTTGCCAGAATATAGGCAGCATTAAGTTGCAGGGTAAAACACAAACCCAGATACTAATTCAAACCAGAAGTACACATACTGAAGCAGAGATGATAACTAAATGCCTCATTGTACAAACTTATGGACTAGAAAGTTTTTAGTACTTCCACCTACCGTGTTTCTATGAAGCCCAGGCACCTAGTAATTCTTGGTTTTTGTAGGGGCTTCACCTAATGTGTACTCTACTGTAGCCAAATGGTGTTGCATATCTTGCATCCTGATTGGTTAATGTGTGCCTATTGAATATTCATAAGAAAATCCTATGCGTTACAATAATAATGGGGATTAAAGTAAATTATACAATAAGAATGTAAATGTTCAGATGACATTTTTATTGTCATAGTTTCACAAAAAGTAGTTAATAAAAATTATCACCAAAATATATTAAATGAATCCATAAATTTAATTTATAAAAAACACTTACAATATTAAATTTGCTGAAGCAACTTTCTGTATACCAATTAAATTTATTGCCCATATCTAAATTCCACCTTCATAAACATTTTCTTAATCATGAATTTATGCATAAACAGACAATATCTAATAATTATGCAAGGTTTCTAGTGTTCTTAAACAGCACCAACCTTGTAATCCAAACAAAATGTCCATAAGATGTATGATTATGGACATCATGGCAATGAATAAATCTTGACTCTTTTGAGTCAATATAATTATAACTATAAAATAATTCATAAAATGCTAGGTAATTAGGGTTTTTTTTTTTCTGGAAAAACCCAGGATTTTTCTGGCTATTATAAATTCTCTGTTTCATACTCTTAACAATATAATTAGATAATTTAGTCTACAGAACAAAAATGTAATTCTTTTTATACCAGTGCCTCATAGCTCAGTTTGTAAAGCAACAGAAATGTAACAGGAGGGTCTCGGTAATGTAATGTAATGGTAGAGTCCATAAATGCATTTTATTATTATATATGCAATATACCTGTCAAAATTATTATTATATAGAATAAATTTTTTGATAAATAAAAAATCCCAATAAGCTTAAAAGAAATATGACATGGTTGATGATAGTTAGCAATCAAATTTTCATTCATCAGTTTGGACTCTCAAAATAAATCAAGAGGTTAACTTTATGGTACAGTATCTCATTTGTTTAGCATAAATGTTTATCCTATCACCAGGTCAGAGGACCCATCATATCAGTGAGACTAGGATTGGTGCCAATAATTCTAACAATGGCTGTAATCGACTAATCGTTCTTCGTTAAAATTACGCCTACTTAACGGAAACAAACAATTGAATAAAAAACTGGAGAAAATACTCAGCAAAACAAATTGGCTGCATATGTATGGCCTGTTGCAATAAGATAACATTCTAAACAATTTCTTCAGATTTATACAATAATAATTTCTCGATTTGTTATCAAATGTAATGTAGTTATATTTATATAGCGCTTTGTAACAAGTTTCAAAGCGCTCGAGGTGTGGACTAGCTTGTACACCAGTCAATTTATTAATATTTTTAAATGAAAGTGAAGCATACCAGTCAATTATGGCCAATGTCAGACCAAATATTAATAACTTAAAATACCTTTCCTACAACAATGGTCCTAAGTATAAGAAAAAAAACATGTTACACTTTTAACACAATACTATAGTTTTATTTTCTTTGATGAAACTTTACACATTTTTTTTTGGTTCAAATACAGTAGTTGGTACTGTTTAATTTATACATTCCTTTTTGGTTTTCTATTTATAGTTTTTAGCAATCTTTTGATATATTTTCATTATAGGTCTTGCTTTTTCAAACATCATTGCATCGCATTACTTGCTGTTTCATGTTATTTCAGTCTCAAACATAAAATTACAAACAATAGAGACAAGTAGAATAATAAGATGATGCAAGAATAAGTGTATTATGCTAAATCTGACTCTTTGTACAATAGTTGTTTTTTATCAAGTATGTTTCTATCAAAGATAAGCAAACTGCCTATATGCTATAGTTCGTTATGTTTATCTTTAGCCAGACCTGGGTATTCACAGCAAATGCATTCTTCCAGGGATTTTATGGGTTCTGGGAAGGGCTTGAATACACAGAAAAACCACAGTTTCCTGTTTGAAATTTTTTAATTGCTAGGCTTATAAAAAGAACAACCAAGAAACAGTTTAGGGAAAATCCTATAAAACATAATCAACTGTAAGGCCTAGGGATTTTTATTATTGTTAGGATACAATCTATTACTTTTTTCACAGGCTTAATGCTATCTATTTAAATCTCTCAGTGGAAAAAAACCATTCAATTGTTCATTTTTTAAGAGATCAATAAACTTTCAAAGTTGCACAGAGAAAAACAATTCTAGTTTTCGGTACTAAATGCTGAAATTATCTGCTGACCATTTTAAGGGCATAGGAAGAATAAAGCTCTGTCCACATTAGGCAACACAAACAAAATTATTAGTTTATCACCCCCTCCCTCATCACTTTTGGGGAAATTCTGATACTTTTTTTTAATCAACATATATTTTTATTTCAAATGGACATTTTTCCATTTTTCACTTGAAAAGCTCAGGATTTCTTGCAAATATGTTGACTGGTACAACAAAAACATATATTTAAAATATAAATTTGATTCCATTCTTATGATTTTTTATATGTGTCTCTAACTATTGATTTACCTGTGAACATCGGTAAAATGGGGGAGGGGGTTAGCAAAAAAAACCCCAAAAAACCTCCCTCCCTTATCAGTTTTAATATTTGATAGGGTGATAATCTAATAATTTTTTTTATGGGGCCTTATCAAATTTGTGTGATGTGCCCGTATTGCCAAACATAAGAAAAAGAGGTTTATTACATATCCATGTATTTTGATGATCAAGGCAATTTGCTCATAATTTTTTTTTACAATATTTTGCTAAACTGGTTTGATTTTCACAAATCCAGGTTTCCTTCTTTGTCCCAGAAATTAAATCTCAAGAGAGTTTGGGGGCAAAAGGTTGGTAGATTAATCATGCGCTAAAAATGTGCAAATGTTTGCAAAAAAGACTTAATGGGTATGACAGTACAAGGCCTTAGCCATGCTGAATCGCATTAGGTAGGCCTACATAGCCACTATGTTCATTTGAGTATATTTACCACATTTTACATATGACTTAACCTTCGGTAAAATATGAAACTGCCAGCAGGCAGACAGGCAGAAGCAACATTTGTTCGAACGTACTACTTTCATTAGCCACTCTGTGAAAGTTAAGCTTTTCAGTGACACCTAGGTGAGGTATAGGCCCTATTACAGATGCAGAAAACTTCACTGGTCTTGTAAAACACTCGTACACAGAGATGTTATGCCGTTAGCAATCCGTTTAAAGACACAACAGGTACTGGCATACAATAAAATAAAAATAAAAAAATATTGAAAATTATTTAAAAAAGAAAAAATGTCAATATTTATTCAGAATATAAACTTGTTTAAAAGGGTACTATAGTTAAAAAATCCTTTTTTCATAAAAGGCAAAAAAAAATTGAAAATAACATTTTGTTTTCTCATTTAGAATGCGAGTTCTGCAGAAAGCATCTATGCAGAGAAAATAATAATAAAAAAAAAAGAATAAAAATATGCGATTGTGTGAGGTAAAATAATTAACAGCCTTGGCTTTTGCTTGAGATCTCATTGCTTGGTCGTATAAAGAATGCAAATTTGGGACGTAAACAGAAATTATTGGCTTAAAATTTCAATTTTTCACGGTGGTAGGTGCACTAACTGATGAAAACAACATTTTTATTGTATTTAAAAAGCATCATTATTGGCGGGAGGTGGGTTCGCAAAACAAAGTATAATAAAATTCTAGTCTGAGCTAGAAACAAAATTCCACTCTCACAACTATAATCGTGTTTATTCTACACATTTGTTATGAACTCGAATCTGTGATTACATAACACATTTTACTTTCTACAGTGAATTGGTCCAACATCGTTATTTATAAAGCACAATCATTTTTCATTATCTTTATATTTTTCTCTCGATTTTATTGTATGACGTGTTGCTAGGCCCGGGAGGATAACAATGCTTTTGTACAGATCAGGTTACTCAGGCTAAAGAAGAAATAAAGAACAAAACATAAAAATAAAATAAAATAAATAACTACAATATCATGAAAAGATATTTACAGAAAACGTTGCAATATGCGAAATGCGTAGTGGGTTATTATTGTACTGCCCACTGTTTTTAAGAGAGGCCTGTGCCAAGGCCTAGACATAGTCAACTTGGTAAACATGGTGAATTCGCTGAGTAGATTTTTATTCAGATTATATTGTAAACACACAGAATTCTGATCTTTTATACAACATGGAGAGGACATACTGTGTTGCTCAATATGCATTTTGTATTATACTATACCGTAAATAAAAGAAGTTTTTCAGGGAAGCATGCTCCCTTAAGTGATAGATTATCCTAGTGCTTGCTATTTGAAAATAGTAGGTTTGCTGTAAAACACACACCTTAATTTGATTGGGTGACTACATTTTAAGGGGAGAGGGATAAAGTTTTGTTTTTAACAACAGGAATAAATTTTTTATTTTAACCATGGAATTGGGATAAATTTATATAAAATGGTTTAAGCCTCTGTGCAATAGTTGGATTAAATTGTATTTAATTCATGTGAACACCAAAGATACCGATAACCCACAAAAATTAAATAATTCTCTGATAAACAGTGGAGTAACACCTATGGGAATTTAGAGGCGAAGCACTTTCCGCAATCAGAGGTAGCACGGGGATAGGTGGCCCCCAGTCGGGGAAAAAAAACCACAATTCATTAAGGGGAAAAAATTTATGTGCATTTTCCATATATTAGTAGACTCGATCTATATATTGATTAAATAAGCCTTTGACACACCTAAATTGCCACCCCCAACCCACGGTTCCATGACAATAAGGCACTGGTACATTATACCATAATACATTAGCTTGATTCAAGCACAAGCTAGAATGCCATCTTGCTATCATCATAAAGTATATACACCTAAATTGCCACCCCCAACCCACGGTTCCATGACAATAAGGCACTGGTACATTATACCATAATACATTAGCTTGATTCAAGCACAAGCTAGAATGCCATCTTGCTATCATCATCAAGTATATTAAAATTGCCACTAAAGCATTCTTTACCTAATTATTACTTTCAAAATTGAGATTATGTATTGACTGCTAGTTGATTTATTCCAGCAAAACTAATAAATGAATCATCATGAAACTTCATGAAATTTTACATACTGGTCTAAAAATTGGTTAAATTTGGGGTGAAAAGATCAAAGGTCATGGAAAGTTGAAAAATCGCATTAACAAAGCGGTGAGATTGAGGTATGTACTCTAGTACTGCCCGTTCCAGTGGCATAAAATTGAGAAAGAAAAGTACTCTTTTTCGCTCTTTATAAACACAATAACAACACAATTTTGTATTATGTTTTTTATGACGGCCAGGAATTGGGATAAAATCGTAGAAGGAAAGTATTTGTTCTCTCTGCTCTTTTCAGCACTACGTATCAACAACTCAAAAACTCAATTCAACGTATTTATGTTTAATCTAGGTCAGGGTAAGCGTTATTCCATGTGACAAAGCATTTACATTAGCAAGCATCTGGCCATACTCATTAAATATACTGTTTATGAAGCTATAAACTTGGAAGATTAACACTCAGTGTTTGAATTACCTACGTAACTAATTATTTTCTTAATTTAATTCTTTTCTTCTTTGCATGGTTTGCTTAAGGCCCAAGTTCCCAGCATTATTTGTTGAAATAAAGAGACTCCCGACCAGAATGAAAAATTTGTCATCCAATCGTTGTTCAATTTCAAAAGTTGGGCATTTCAGTCATTGGATGGAATTTATTTGGTGTGAACGCCGAGGATAACCAATATAATTGCGTTTAATTTACAGTCAATTGCATGTATATATGTGGAAGCGGCTGCTGCAACAGCCGTGGCTCAGGCTCTCTATCAGAATTGAGGTCGGTGGTTTCGAAATCCTCGCTGTGTCAGTTGCTTGTGTCCTTATGCAAGACACTCTACCCTTGTCTCTCTCTCTATCCAGGAGTATAAATGGTACAGGCATATATGCTGGGAAGGTAAAATGAACTTGCTGTGGGATGGGGGGATGGGGGGGGGGGATGAGATAGGGTGTAGTACATTTTTGGTCGGTGCCAAAATCGGGCCGCCGGACCGATTTTAGCTCTAAAATTACCTGCCAAATGCAGTCCACTTAAGCCAAAATCGGTCCGGCATCTATTTAGTAGTTTAACCTGCATTTTTGTTATCGTTGTTCATATTGGTTTTTAATCAAATGATAATTTAATATCTTATCTCTTGCAATTGAGTATATATCCACAAAACAATCAGGGGTGGCGCCAGGATTTGCCCGACAGGGGTGGGGGGGGGACCGAGGTCCCCGACGGGGACAAAATTTTGAACAATTCAGTTGGTTTGATAAAACACGTCCACAACGGGGTCCACAAAAGCTTAATATGAATCATTCTGTAACTGCAAAATATTTTTCAAGTGTAATCTGAGAAGCATAAATTACTTCGGTCCACTCCACAGGAGAAACAATCATACCCACGGGCAGCAGACGTGTTACAAGCGGCCAGTCCGACGGATCAATTTTATTCAATGGGAACCAATTTTAGCGGCGAAAATCAACCCGGTGGACCGATTTTAGCGGCCAAAAGTAGTCCAGCGGACCGACTTTGGCGGCCAAGATCTGTCCGCCGGACCTTTTTTTGGCCCGGACCTATTTTGGCATGACACACCCACACAGCCTTAAGAAAGAGATGGGAACTCAGCCTGTAATCCCAGAGCTTCAGTTTTTGACCTTTACCTTACATGTATGGTATATTCTAAATTGCAGCCATTCAAATTTTAATAGCTCTGTGTATGCAGCTGCCATGGCGGTGCAGATAGGCCATTAGGGTTCCGCTGAACTTGCTGACTCTTTAACATTTTAACATTAAATTGATGTCTACTATGTTTAGTTCATATTGGAAACAAAAAGCCTATTCAAATGAATCAATCAACTATACATAAAATACATAAAAAATTTGTAAGCAAGTATGGCCTACTAAAGTGCCCAACTGTAAGATTCACCAAAACAATAATTTAACTCAAATGTAATTTAATCTAACTCTTATATTGGTATGTATAGAATATAGATGTGTATACAGTATAATATTACAGTAAATTGATTACTGTATAATATATGTTCTATATGTAGTATATAATTTAGTTCATATATTATTGATGCGATGTTCTATGCATATTAAAATGGCTATACCAAACACCTATCTTTGACAATGAATTTTAATAAAGGATGAATTTTATTTTATCTTATTCTACACATATTAATTGCCAAAATATTCAGAATTTTTATAATCAAAGATATTAAAATATATAATCTTTGATGTACAGTAGACAGTATTGTTCAGACAATGTAACATACTGTAGGATAGAAAAACACTGTATAACAAGTAGGAAGTACATAATAGTAATTCACCTAAGCAATAAACCTTTACATTATTATTACTAATACATTTATGTTCTGATGAGAAAACTTTCTCTTAAAAAAAAAATCAAGGATTATATTTCCAGAACTAAAGAAATGTAGATAAGCTTACTTTTTCTTATAGTTGTTTCTTTATTGTATTTATCATTTTTTGTTTCTTTTCATGGAGTTCACCATTTCTGCCCACAGGATGTTCTTCTTCAGTTGAGTATGTTGACAGCAGAGGAAATATTTTTAGTGGCTAAGTGATATAGTACACTGTATAGGGGCCATGGAGTACTCTACTAAGTGATATAGTACACTGTATAGGGGCCATGGAGTACTCTACTTATTTCTACTGTAACAATAACACAAAACCATAATTGTTACCAAATAGGCGTGTACCGCCAAAATAGAGTATTTAAAGACCGCAGTGATAGTGGTCTGTAGGTGTTAGTATACTCCACCCGGGCTGGAAAACTCCTGTTTTGGTGACCTCAATCTCCGCCAATTTTTTATCTCATGTTTTCTCACATGCTCTCCCAGTTTACAAAGAAAATTGTATAGGTGTACTAATATATTAATTGTATTGTCTTTTTTTGCAATAAAATTCTTTGAAAAAAGCCTATATATTTACGTTATCTTTCAATATTTTGTTCGGGGACAACATCGCCTCTCCGTGGGTGGTGTAATAGATGTGGATGTGAGTGATGGAAAGTCACGCTGGCCTTGTATACACTGGATCATGATTACAACATGTCTGGTCAGTTAAAACTATAAGCGTATGATTCATGAGATTTAGCCTTATAATACAATAAAGTTTCCAGGGGTTACACAGGATAAAAAATGTGTCCTCTTAATAGCAGTGTCCCCTTAAAAAGGGATGTATTCTCAATAGTGGTTGGCGTATTGTTAAAAGATATATTTTCTTTTGACTCATGGCCACAAAAATGTGTCCCTTTAATAGGGATGTCCCAAAGAAAAGGTTCTATTGTGTTTGGTAGTAAGTGTCTAGTAGGAATTGTAATAGACTATTATTTATTATTATTCTGAAAATAGCATCAACACACCTACTTAAAAAAATACAAAAATTGTGGTATAATTTGCTCAGAATCATCAGACGAAGCCTAAATTCTATGAAAGTTGGAAAAAATGGCCATAAACACTTTTCTAAAAACAAATTAATTGTAATATTTGCAAGGTTGGTAGTTTCAATAAACAAACCAACTAGACAAAAAAAAAATGACGGTTTCATTTCTGTATGTATTTCGAATCAATAGGCTTATTATAAACTGTACAACCAAAACAAAACACTTTTCCACCTCATCTAACTACAATGTTTACTGTAATAGAAACTCTTCACGCCTGAAAGAACATCATGCAGACATGAAAGGCTAGTAAGAGTATTTTACTGTACCTTCGGGAAATCCTGAACTTGGTGTACAATAGATTTCTCAGAACATTCAAGTTGCCTGGAAAGGTAGCAGCTCCTAGAAAAACCAGATTTCCAAGCACAAGCTGACTTCATTGAATTAACCTGCACAAAACAAATGTATCAGATAAGTGAGGACATGGATATTAAAAGTGGAGGTTTTATGTATTTGAATTATGATTGAATGTCGTGATAAAACATGGCCATACTAAAGCATCCAGTTCAAAGTCCTTGCAAATTATATACAATAAAATTGAGGTCAAAGCTATAGTAGACTATTACCAACAATAATCGTAGCTATCAAAATGATATGAAATATGGCATGTATCATTGGTTTATAGTTAATCAAGAGTTGAACTAAGTGTTTACAATTTAGATTGAATCTATGATAAATAAATTATATATTAATACCAATCTCGTAATTTATGTTTATATATTCCAATTAGGATTGTGACTTTCTCAAAATAAGAAATACATACTAAATACATACTAAATACATACTAAATACATACTAAATACATACTAAATACATACTAAATACATACTAAAGTTGCATTAAAAAAATATAAAAATATGGCTTCTCATGTTCCCTGCATCATATTTAGAAATATAAGTTCAAGTAAGAATTAAAAAAAAAGTAGTTTCTTGTCCTTATATTTTGAAAAAAAGGAGAGAGAGGACACCTTTATTTATTTATTTTTTTTTACTCAAAGTTGGCAAATCCAAGAAACAGCTACTACTTTCCCCCTTTTACCAAGTAGACACATTGAAAGCAAATAAATGAAGCACTAGACATGATTCATACCATATGTATCGCCTACCACAAACGTTAGAGAGGGAAATTTTACCGATGTGAGTTAGCCAGATTTTCGTACGTTTCGTAAAATAAAGGAAATTTTAAAAAAATGGTGAGGCAGAGAAAATGGATCTGGAGGGGATGAGAAACCAGCATTTTATTTTTATTTGGCGTAAAAAAAAAAAGTACAATGGATTACCTTGAAGTATTAACAAGGTATTAGATAGTTAACTTTATGTTGGCCTATGTACTTGGCCTCTGATGCTTGTATGCCATTGTTTTTTGCATAATTATTCATCGGAATAAATAAATACAATGACAAATACAAACAGAGATGGGAAAGTGGAGAAGGGTACTAGCTGCTATAGGTGATTTTTCATTATGGGAGTATTTGCTCAGCCAATTTTTAGTAGAGGACCTGGGGATGCAATTAATGCTTTGAGTGGAATGTTCCCCTCATTTCATGTCCCCCTAGATACACCACTGCAGGTTACTATCGCATATATACCTATAAACTGCTCAATAAGCCTACCCTTCCCCATGCAAAATGTAAAAGTCTACACATTGGGGTTAGATAGTCTATAGGTAAACAACTTAGTTATTATTAAATATAATATAGAATAATGTACTTTACAATGTACAGTAATACTTGGGAATCTACACAGTACTAGTACCAGTGGCGTAACGAAGGGGCCATTAGGGGCCCTAAGACACTGGGGCCGCGAAGGAAGCCCCAATGGGGGTCTGGTGTTTTTAGCATTCAATGACGTATATTAATGCCTTTTTTACACAATCAAATTCTAAGTATCGTATCGTGGTTTGACTCAAAAAAAGCATACTTAATTTATATTACCAAACAAAACGAGCAAATTAAAATCAGTAAATATTTATGGACAAAAACATATGTATCATACACATGTGTCAATGCTTTAGCTCGTGTGTAATTTCACTCGGCAGACTTGGGCTTTGAAAAGGGTTATTTGTTTATAAAAAAAATAATTTGAATTTGGTGGGGCCACTTGAGGATCCAGGGCTCCTGGCTTTAGCCAGTGAGTGCCGCATCGCCATTACGGCACTGACTGGTGCTGGTATGTCCATTCACGAAAAACGAAGTCACGATCACTTCCCATTGTTAATCGTGACTTATAAACAAATGAAAGGAGAAAATGTGGTAAACAACCAGGAGATTTTTTCCGGGATATTTTGAAATTCTTTTTGGAATCCAGGCACCAAGCTCATTTCCAGGACACTTACGAAAATTACAAGCTTAGAGCACTGACATGTCTTGTACAGTACCAGTGGTACTTAGTAGAAGTAGGTTACTTATATCTACCCTTGAAATGAATATTTTTAGGGGGCAGCTGTCTTTAAATAGTATTTCATTTGCTTAAGCTGCCTGACCATTATTTTTTTTTTTGAAATAAGGTCGATTAAATAAATGAAGCAAAACGAAAATGAAACCCTTACTCCTTGGTGCGCAATGCGGGTCAAAAGGACTTTAGTGGAGTAATGTCTTTACCCAAATGTGCATAGTTCCTTTAGGCATGCAGCTTGTTTTATGTATTCCCTTTTTTGTGTTATATTTGAATAAACAAAAAAATGATATTTATTGAATATCTACAACATGAATAGGGGAAAATCTGAGAGCAGGGTAGATATTTTGCTTCTAAATATGATCTTTTAAACTAAGATACACTAGTGTACACCTTCAGATAATTCTGCATGAGCATACAGAACCCGGGGAGCTCGCTTGCATACCAACCAAACAGGGAGGTGCCGCAGCCACTTCAAGACATCAGACACTTGTGCTACAGCTATTTTACTGAAAAATCTTATGGACTTAAACTACCATTTACCAAAATCACACTGTGCTCTAAAAGACGACAGGAAAAAGGCCACTCAATAGTGCCAGAGAGGGCGCAATATTGATTGGTTCCCGATGGCAAAAGTCGCGATCTTGTAGCTGTACCAAATGTAGGCTTAGCAAGGGGCTTACCGGCTTTGCACCCAGTTTGGATTGAAATTCCTGCTAACATCGTGAGGAAAATCTCAGGACACGGGATAGGCCAGGGACTTTAACTATTATTTTCACCCCGGTTATTTCCCACACCTGTGCTACAAAGTCCTCGCAAGTACACCCCGTAAATGCAGCACCTCCTCGTATAGAAATATTTAAGAATGAGCCCCCACACAGAAGAAAAAGCAAATTCTATTTCTTTAACACTCCATGTTAGGTAACGCAATGCTTGACCACCAAACATGGAGATATATGTGTTTCAGGTTTTTTAATGGAAGCTGATAGATGGGGTAACTACTGACATGTACTAACAATTTCAACACTATATTCAGTTTGGACCGTAAGTTTTTCACTATTTGTTTGTTTACATTAAACACAGCGATGTACTTTCACAAAATCGTGATTATCTCAGGTTCGTTGTGCGAAATTGTGTAAATCTCCAAAATTGAGTCATTTTCATTTTACTGTCACGGGTCACATACTGTGATTAGAATTTGAGTTTGGTATCATTGTAAAGCTAAGATGTTTGTAGTTCTTGTAGTATTCATTACATGTCTCAATCTGATGGTGAATAAAACTGTAATATACCCATGATTCATTCATACTAGTTATTTCACTATATTTTCCCATGGCACACAATCAGATAGTCTTCAGTTTCTGAGAAAAATCTAATTCCAGTAAAAAAATACATTAGTCACACACTGAAACACTTATATTAATCAGTTGTCTAATAATAATCATTATTAATACAAAGTGCAAGGAAGGTGACACTCAAACCTCATTGGTTGATGCAAAAACAATCTGAAGGCCAATTATAACCTTGTTTAATAAATAATATTTATTTGACATTACACTTTTACAAAAGTGGCAGTACACAAGAAAGTGGTGCAGTCAAACTTAAACTAATGAACAAAGAGGAAAACAACAACTTAAAGCTAAACAAATGAAAGAACCTAAAGAAAATACAATTTAGAGTTTCAATAAATCATAAACTTTCCTCACCCTCCCCACACAAAAAATGTACATAATACACATTACGTGCATACAGTAAACG